GCTCCGCACGCTCGAATAGTTGTCAGTAAAATCAAACTGACGTCAGCCCGGGGGAAAAAGATAGGTCTCTTTTGTTCTCATGTTCTCCCCCCTCCCCTCCCTTGCGATCAAAGGCAAAAAAAAAAAAAAAAAAAAAACATTTTTTTTTTTTTCCTTTGGAGGGTGGAGGGAAAGACAAAAAAGGGGGGAAAAATTGCCGTGCAAAGAGATAGCTTCCATTAGAGCTTCTGCCCGGGCGAGGGGAATGTTTAATGAATGCATCACGTCTTTTGATCACCCTCGCTCGGCTGGGTTCAGTAGTGCCGGAAGGTTAGTTGCATATCCTGTGGCTGATCTGAAATTCGATCAGCAGAGGGGGTCAAAGAAAAGAAAAGCATTTTAATGGGAATCAATAGAGGAGCATAGGTCTTGGAAGGAAATACGTGTTGATTAAAAATGCCACAAGATTACAAAAAATGTCCACGACTGGTTTAAAGAAAGCGAGAAAAAGAAAAAAAAAAAACGAGGGAGAGAGAGAGTGGGAAGAGAGGAGAGGGGGAGGAGGAGGGGGGGAAAAACCCTTAGCAATCTATTTTCTGTGTGTGCTGCTGCCAGAGAGGCAGTCAGCAGACCAGCAGTTTGTGTAATGCTTCAAGCTACAGCGGGCAAATTTAAAGCTGTATGCTCAGAACAACATAATAAATACTTATTGAAAATGCATTTCTATTTCTAAGCGGGGCTCACTCATGCATTATACAAAACACCTAGGGCTCCAGTAGCAGACACAAGGGGACAAATAAGGTATACTGTGACTCGAGTCCTTAAAACTAAACTATGGGGCTTTTAACAGTGGAGAGCAGAAATAAACAAACAAACAAAAATTCCCCTTAAGTCGAAAACTAACAGCTTTGAAGGAAACCCAAGGCTTAAAATGGAAACTTTAAAGAAGTTGTAATTTTAAAAATATCTTAGAACTGTGAGGGTAAGAAGGGACTAGAGGGGAGTCAACGGTGGTAGATAGCATATTGATTGCCTTACAGAGTGGAAAATTATTGCCCTGTAGGTAGGGAAAGTGATCAACAGTGTGATAAAACAGTTGAAGGTTTTTATGGCCCTTTCTACCTACTATAGAGGAAAAGGAAAAGCATTCTAAACCCACTCTCACACCCACTCACCCCCACCCACACACACTCTCTCACTCCTGTCTGCCTGGTCTGTTGGAAGAGAATCAATAGTATTTAAATTTTTACGCGTTCAACAAAGACAATCCCTTCCCCTTGGAGGAAACATCTTGAGTACAATGTGGGAAGCTTCTTCGGAAGGGTTCAGCAGCTCCTCCCTGGCCTCCTGGATTCTCGTCCTTGCTCTTCACCACATCGTTCTTACTCCTAATTTTTCTTTCTATCTCTAAAGAATATACAAAGAGATCAAGAATTGTTTTCAATGTGATACCCCTTGGCTCTTCCCAATAAAGTTGTCTATTCAGCACCTCCCCATACCAAACTCCTTTTATGTTTTAGTCTTTTATGCAATGTGGTATGTATTTTCATATCAACTATGAACATCACTCTGTGTATTTTTCAGGTTTGTCTAATTGGTGGCCCATGGAAAAATGTGTCCCATGGTATCTAAGAACGTAGCTCAACACATTTGTAGTTGACAATGCCATGTTGAAACGTCAAAAGGTTGGGCACTCCTGTTTTATTATTTATTTATTTGTTTGTTTGTTTTTTCGAGACAGGGTTTCTCTTGTGTAGTTTGGAAGCCTATCCTGGCACTCGCTCTGGAGACCAGGCTGGCTTCGAACTCACAGAGATCCGCCTGCCTCTGCCTCCCGAGTGCTGGGATTAAAGGCGCGCGCCACCAATGCCCAGCCTGACATCTCCAATTTGTATATCTAACACATCCTAAATGTCATGCTATGCTATATTGTTTAGTCTGTATAGCAGGGTGTGGTGGCACAAGGTGAGTAGTAGTTAGAAAGGGGGTTGCAAATTTGAGGTCAGCCTGTGTTATATAGTAAAGTCATGTCTAAAAAGAAAGATAATAAAATAAATACAGAAGGACAGAAAGACAAAGGAAGAAAGAAGGAAGGAAGGAGGGAAGGAAGGAAGGAAGGAAGGAAGGAAGGAAGGAAGGAAGGAAGGAGCTCCTCCATGGATTAGTCGACTCCCTGATAGAAGCTGTAGATATAGGAGCCAGCATGCTAACTGCACTTAACTTCTGTAGTTTTGGTAAAGAGGATTCATCAAAATTGAACTTTTGTTGTTTGACACTTTTCATACCTCAAAATCTTTTTGTTTTGTCTTTTTAAACAGGGTCTCATGTAGCCGAGGCTGATCCTAAACTCACTATGTAGCCAAGGCTGGCTCATACTGGTGACTTTCCTATTTCTGGCTTACAGGTGTGTACCACCATGCAGAATTACATAATATGATGTTTTTTTTAAAAAGAAGGTTTCTTAGCAACTGTTTCACATTTCTTTTTGTTTGTGTTTGTACTATGTGTGTGTGCATGACGCATGTGTCTGTGTGTGATAGTGTGCACATACTATAGTGATAGTGTGCATCAATATAGAGGTCTGAAGGCAACTTTCAGGAGTTGGTCCTTGCCTTCCACCTTGTTAAGGCAGGATCTCTCTTGGTCTTTGGCTCTATGCTGCCTACTCCAGGCTAAATGGCCCACAAGCTTTCTGGGAGATTCTTCTGTTCCCCACCTCACCATTGGAGTGCTGGGATTACAGTCTTTGGCTACAGCATCTGGCTTTTCGATTTTAGGAATCTGAACTGGGATTCCAGGGATCTGAACTGGGAACTCAGGTTTTAGGCTAGCACAGAAAACACTGTACCATTTTGAGATGTCTCCTGGACCTTGACCCAATACTGAGCTTTGAAAACAGAGGCCACATCCGCCTTTCTCATCTCTAATTCCACCAGTGCTCTGTAGAATAGAGTTTTTCATGTTGGAAGTAGAGCTAGCTGATGGACAGCTTTGAGTTTATTAGAGCAGATGGTACATTGACTGGATTTCAGAGAGGGAAGGGGTTGCTTGGTAATCTTAGACCACTGACTTAAGTTCTCTGAAGCTCAGGTTCCTTGTTGGTAAAATGGGAAAATTATACTTATACCCAGACTCATTCATGTGATGAAATAATATATGTAAAGCATGTTTTATAACATGCTTATATATAATCTATAAATAATAATGTATTCTGTGCCCTATGATATATAACATGTATGCATCTATCTATCCATCTATGTATCCATCCATGTATCAATCATGTATCTCTTTTGTTCTTCAAAGATTTCTCCCTCCCAGGAGCCATGCCTTCCTGAATCATACTCTTTCAAAAGAGAATCTGTTTACATTATTTAGATTTATTCATTATTTTATGTACATGGGTGTTTTGTCTGCATGCATGTCTATACATATGTGTGTAGGCAGAGTTTCCCTGTGCCAGCAGCCACTCTCAACCATTCAGAGTCTGAGGCGATAGCTCAGGCTTGTTACTAGCTAACTGTTACATTTACAATTAACCCATATTTCTTATCTGTGCTTTTCCAGGAGGCTTAGTACTGTCTCTCATCTTTGCCCATCTTTCTTCTCCTTGAGTTGGCTGATGACTCCCCTGACTCCACCCTTTTTCCTCCCAGCATTCTCAGTTTGACTTTTCTGGCTAACCTTATCCTGTTCAGCTATTGGCTAGTCAGCTTCTTTATTAAACCAACCACAGAGTCATATATTCACACAGTTTAGACAAGGATTATTCCACAGCCTGATGCCCATGGTGGGGTTGTCAGATGCCCTGGGACTAGAATTACATACCCCTGCCATATGGGTGCTGGGAAGTGAACTCTGATTCTCTGCAAGAGCAACAAGTACATTTTACTATGGATCCATCTCTTCAGTACCCCTCTCCTTATTCACATTTTTATGAAGTCTTTCCTTGAATATGGGGCTCATTTGAAGTTGTAGGCCAAAGCATCTTTCTGCCTCTTCCTGAATTTCTTGGAATGCTGGCTCTTGAGACATTTCTTCTCAGGACCTGGCTGTAATCTTCAAGTCTGAGGAATTGTGTATAGGTGAGATCATTTGTAGGTGGGCTGGTTGATATCTGCAGATTGCTTCCAGCAGTATTCCACTAGCCAGGAGATCACATCAAACTTCAGCCTTGATAGATGCCCATCTGGGTTGTTCCATCCTGTTTAATTATCTGCTGCCTGATTGCAGGCCCACAAAAGATCCCAAACCAGAACTACCCAGTTGAGCTCACTCACAGAACTGTGAGAGGTGATAAACAATAAATGCATAACACGGGCTGTGCACGGACTGTGTTCTCCAAATTTTGTGTGCTGGAAACTAAATAGCCAAAGTCTTATGCTAAAAGTCTTGAACAGTGGAACCTTGGGAGCTGATTTGTGGCTCCATGAGTTACCGAGGGTGGCTGTGTGGAGACATATACCTGCTCTTTGCTACCATGGAACACTCTCTACCACAGTACGATCTAGCAAGAGAACTCCTACCAGAAACTGATCAGTATGGTTGTCTAGTTTTGGACTTCCGGCCTCCAGCACTGGGAGCTAAATAGATTTCTCTTCTTTATAAATTGCTTGGTCTCAGGTGTTTAGTTATAGCAACAGAAAACTACTGAGACAACTAGCTTTTTATGAGATTTCTATTTTATAGTAAGTACTAAACCCATTTATTTAATAAATATAAATGAAATAACCTAGCTGCTTGGTAAATTTTTCTTTAGCTCATTCTTCCTGCCCCTGCTACTCTTCAACACCTACAAAAATCCTGTCAGCCTTGATTTCTGAGGCTGTTTAAGCTAAATACAGGCTACACAAGGACAAAACTTGCATGCTCTTTTCATAGGCTCTCTTTTCATAGGGGCTTGGAGCCTAAGTGGATAGAGAAGACTTTATATGTATTTTTTAAATTATTTTTTGAAGAAAGAGAAGCCATTTTGTTTTCTGTTGAGAAATATAAATACAAATATAGTACTTACATACATCATTTCCATCTCTCCCTCCCCCTCCAATTCTTCCATGATCACCATACTCTCTCTCAAATTCATGACCCTTCACTACTTTCTCTTAATTTCATGACCTTCTTTAATTATCATTCCTCCCCACTTACCTACTGTCCATTCAGCGTTGCTCATATGTGCTTGTATCTCATGGGGGCTGACCACGTGGGACTGGATGGCCTATCAGGAGGCTTGTCCCTGGAGAAAAATGCTTCAACCCAACCTGTTTCAGTGACCACTGATTGCCTTAGGCTCTTCATGTAGGGAAAGGGGCCTTGTGAAATGGCCCTATCCACACTGGTATGTCATCTGGCATCATTATTCAGGTCTTGTTTAGGCAACCATGTTGCTGAGATTTTGTGGGCGTGGCTTCCCTGTCATGTGTAGAACACACTATCTAGCAGTAGACTTCCTGGTCCTCTGGCTCTTACAGTATTTCTTCTCCCCATCTGTGATTTCCCCTGAGCCTTAGGTGTTGGGTTACCTTACAGATGTAACAATTGGAGTTGGGCATACCCCATGGTGGTCACTGACTCTCTGCATTTCAACCAGTTGTGGGTCTCTGTGAAAAGAGCCTTCTTTGACAAGGGATGAGTGCTACACTTTTTTTTTAAATAATGATAAGTATTTAGAATAAAATGTTAGAAGTTATATTGGCTTAGGAAAATGACAGTAGTTGGTTCTCTCCTAGGGTCTCTGATCTCTCTATAGATAGTTAGCTAGGTTTAAAGTACCAGGTGTGAATTCCTTTCCACTCAATGGGCCCTAAGTCCAATTAGAAACTGTTGGTTATGCGATATTCACCATTGGGGATGTCTTGACAGGCTGGTCATTGTTGTGATTCTTTACAGCTTGCTAGGATTGTTGATTGCTTCTCTCCTTTGGCAAATTAGTTGGCCCTTCTGAATACTAGGAGAGCTAGTCTTCAGGGGAGGCTTCCAGATCAGCTCCAGCTCAATTCCTCTAGTCCTGGTTGGGAAGGCATGGCATTTTCAGCAATAGCATCTCGCCTTCTCAAAAAATGAGGCAGAAAATGATACAGTGAGATGCCTGATAATCCTCCTCTTAACTCCTTATAGGTCTGCATGCATGCCCCGAGCCTGCATAGGTATAAAACACACACACACACACACACACACACACACACACACACACACACACACACACTCCCCATAAAAGTAAACAATCTATATATCTCAATGAGGGTGATTTAAAGTTGAGGTGAGCATAGGAGAGAGGTGGTTATATACTCTGTGGAGGGCTGAAGTGTGTGTGGCTTAGTGGGTCCCAGGATAAGGCCAGATCACTTATTTAGTTAAGTTAGAGATGAATGGATTCTGGGGAATAACTTTGGATATATGCTGTGGGGTGTGTGTGTGTGTGTGTGTGTGTGTGTGTGTGTGTGTGTACGTGTTATACTTAGAGTAAAACACTTATAAAGATAAAACATAAGTTCTTTACAGAACTTGATTGATATATTTGAGTCTTCATGCACAGAATATTCCCAGGGTAAACACATCTTCATGGGCAGGTATGTCAGGTACTTTTTATAGCTCTTCATAGGCCCTTCCCAATGGGATTCTGAATACAGCATTCCAGAATTAAAGCTGCTTTCTGGGATTTGCCAGTTTAGGAAGCTTACTGCCTCCTTAGGTGGACTGGCTGATGTTGCTGGTCTGCCCCTTGCTGCTGGGATGGATTTGGTTTGAATTATGTCTGTGGAGACTTGTATAGGATGATTAGGTCTCCAGGTTAGTCTTTGTGGTTGATTCTGACTCTTGCAGTTGGACCCTTTCTATGAAGTTTGATTCATCTGTTGCAAAAGAGTTCCACAAGCAGTGCTATTTATCCACTGTTGGAAACACCATGTGTATGCTCTAAGCAAGGCATCATGGCAGCCTCCTGACAAGCTTCCTTGAACACGCCCTTCAGTAATCAAATGAGTGCTGGTTGGAACACTGAAACTATTTTGGACACTGTAAGGAAGCTACCCTGAAGGAAAAAGTGGAAAGTGTCCACAAAGAGTCTGAACTGTGATCTAGAGAAAGGGCTGAGACTTAGACAAGGAGGCATCAGAATCAGCAATGGCAAGGGAGTGTGGAATTGCAAGTGTTAGAAATATTGCCCTGGTTCCAGGAAGACACCCGAGGATGCTTAAGCCAGTCCTGACCTTTCGAAATCCTTGAATGGAAAAGCTAAGTCTCCTTTTAAGTGATGGGCTACTTTGCAGACTGACCATGGCCCCCTTTGACTTGTGTCATTCATCAGTGGCTCCTGAGTCTGACAGGCCCTTTTTGAGTTTCGGCTGTATTAGTGCTGGTGGATTTGGGGAAAGTGACATTTTTATGCTAATATTTTTATGGTTGTTATATTCTGCCATGTCTGCTGCTTTCCCTTGTGCTTGCTGACATTCTGAGTGTATTTGTTTTGTACTTGCATTTTTTTAATTACAGTTATTATTTTTTACTGGGGTACAATGCACAGAACATAAACTTCACCATTTTTTTCATGTCTAAGGGTATAGTTGAGGGCTGATGAGATGGCTCAGCAGGTGGTGTGGCTCCGCACAAGGCTGGCAGCCTAGGTTTGTTCCCTAGAACCTACATGAAGGTGGAAGGAGAGAACCGGCTGGCTTGTCCTCTGACACGTGTGCACACAGCATGCTTATGCACCTGCACACATACTAATATGAAATGCATAAACGTAAGAGTACAGTTTAGTGCATTAAGTACATTTATTTTTGTGCAGCCAACATCAACTATTCATTTCCAAGAATTCCCCATCTTCCTCTCCTACATTCCTTGGAAATTAACATTCTACTGTCCTACTCTGAATTTGATTATCACGGCCACATCGTGTAGTGATTTTACATTAACTCTTAAATTTTATTTGTGCGTACATGTGCGTGTGTGCATGTGTGTTCGTGGATGCACCTGTGTGTATTTGTATACCAGCCCATGTAGAAGTTAGAGGACAACGTGAAGGAGTCAGTTCTCTGTTACCATGTGGGTCCTGGCGATTGAATTCGGGTCATTAGGCTTTCAGTGGCATGATCCCTTGCCCTGCAGAGACATCTTGCTAGCCCTTAATTTTACATTTTGGCAGAATGGCTATCAGACTTGAAATGGCTTTGGAGAAAGATTTTATAGTATGAATTACTGAAAATGTAATGCCTTCAAGTAGTTTACAGATTTAATTTTTTTTCTCTGAATATGTGATTTATGGTAAAGATGGTTATCTCAATTTATCCTTAATAAGGGTCAGAACTTTAGGTCAAATGATGACTATTAAACAAATAACATGTACATAAATCATGATACCTCTCTCTCTGATTTGCGTGGCTCTTTCTTTGTGTCTAAAATGAAGTGCTCTCCAGCTGAGGTGTTCTTACTCAGGACCACTCAACACAACTTTGTTAGCAGCCCCCTTAGAATATGGATGAAGATGGTAAAGATTATGGTGTATTCGTACAATAGTTAATTTTATATATCTTTAGAAATGGTAAAAATAACATTTTGTTTCTGTCACAGGCACCTGAAAAACAACACTTTATGTCCCAGCGTATAAACATTTCTCAGTTTAAACAGTAAAAGTGACTTTGAGAAATAAAGACAACTATATTTTGTCTTGAGCCTTTGAAAAAATAATACCCCATAGTAAGATAATAGACTGAGATTATAAATAACTATTGCCAAGTTATCCATGTGAAAATGTAATTAATATAAATTATATAGTCTGATAAAAATGATGTCTATAATGGAGAAATGTAGGCTTTTACAGCCTGCTGCTTTCAATATGATGTCATCTTTGCCTTCGCTCCTAGAATCAATTTCTTGAGAGGAATGCCAGCTCTCTGACTGCAGCAAAGACAGTGGAACCTCATTACGTCTCACTTTGTTAATCCGCAAACCCTGTCATTTTCTCACACACAAAATTCCTCAGCAATGCCATCTTACTTCCCAGGGAACATTTTATAGCTGGGAGCTCTAGGCAAATCTCAAATCACTAAGAATTCATTACTTTTGCCAAATATACTAGAGACCATTCACTAGCTGACGATCATAAAGCATTATGACTCAACTACATTTATCTAAATAAACTAGTAATACAAATCTCATGATTCTAAATTAAGGTAGAAGAAAGATTACACTGTGCACATATTCACATATTTCTGTACATATAAAAATATTACATAAAATGTGGATAGATTGTTAGTATAGCAGCCATAATGAATCAGACCTGTCTGCATTCATGTCTCTTTTACATCCTTTCAACCAACAGATGTTTGTCTGTCCATCCTTTGACTATGGGCTGGTCTTGTGACTTGACCTGTTGAACATGAACCAAGTAATATCAGGTGTTGTTTGAGGCTGGACTTACACAGCTGTGGAATCATTTGCCATCACTCTTGACATGAAGAATGTTAAACAGGATGAATCCTTTCTGGAGAGAAATGCCAGGTAGGTCCAAATGCCAATTTGCCACCCAGTGGTACGTGTATCAGAGTTCTCTCAAGGAAGAGAGCCAATAGAATGGGTATACATGAGATTTACCAGATTGGCTTACATGATACAGGTAGTCCAGGTAGTCCAGTGGCTGTCTCATACCAGAGTGGTTGAGAATCTGGTAGTTGCTCTGTTCATGAGGCTAGATATATCTCAGAAGCTCAAACCTGGCCTTGAGGCTGGAGGGTTCCTGAAGAGTCACTGGTCTTCAGTTCATGTTGGAAGCTTGAAGACCCTGGTTCTAATATCACTGAAGGAATGCAGCAGCCAAGTGATGGATGAACTTGCCAGTGATAATAAGGGTAAAAAGGCACAAAGTAAAACTTTTCTTTTTCCATGCCCTTTCATCTGGGCTGCCACCAGAAGGTGCTACCCATGTTTATTGAGGGGGGTGTGTGTCTTCCTGCTTCATATAATCTGATCATGAAGTCCCTCCCAGGAGTGCCTTAGCTGCTTGCGTTTTATTCCCTTCCAGATCCAGTCAAGATTAGAGAATCCAAGTAAAATCTGCCAGTGAATTCCTGAGGCAACCCGCAGCATCCTAAGGGGAGAAAATGAGCTGTGGTCTTTTTAATTCACCAATGTTTAGGGTGTCCATTTGCATGGTGATAAGTAACTGGTACAGAAATTGGTGTCTGGCAGGGGTGTGAGGAACAAATTTCTAATGTGTGTGACGTTGGGTTGGGGACAGGATGGCAGGTAGACTGCACGGCAGTAAGGATTCTGCTAGCTGAGGCTCTGATAATGGGGAGGAAGTGCTGGAGGAAGGGACTGCTGATGTTGTGTTATGGGGAAAACTCACAACTATGGTAACTTGGAAGAGAAAAAATGGATCCAATGACCTTGGGGACTTGGCAAGGAGGATTTTAGTCACAGAGCCTATTGGCCTTCAGAGAAATGATCCAAAGAACGAAACAGTTTCTGAAAATTAGACTTTACATGGACTACAGGAGAGACAAGACATTGAGTGAGAAAATAAGACTGTTTAAAAATCCTAGTCTCTCCAGTCAGCTGAAGATTGTCAAAATAAGAAATGGCCTCAAGGTAAACATTGAATCCAGACTGTGACCATTAAGACTTCAGAGGGATTTAAGGAGGGGCCTAATGGTCCCCGTCAGCCAGACGAAATGTCTCTGAGAATCTTAAGGGTATTGTTTCACAGTGACTCGCCATGTCCATAGCACAGCTATGTGCTGGGAAGAATTATGGATGTGCTTTTTGGGGCATGGAGTAAGACTATAAAATGCATAGGAGGCCCTCCAAGGTTTTTGAAATCATTGTATTTATGAGGTTACGGAAGGCAAGAGAGAGAGGAGTTCAAAAATTAAAGTGGCCTGGGCACTTAGAAAGACAAATATCACCTGTTTTCCTGTACTTGTGTATTCTAGATTGTATTTGGATACCTAAAGTGGAGGAAGACTGAGGGAAGGAAGGAGACTAGTGGTGGGGAAGGGGGGATAAGGAGGGGGAAGGAAGGAGAGAGCTTGGGGTGGTGAATATGGTCTAAGTAAAAGATACAGCTGAATATATGACAATAAGACAGAGTAAAATAAAATAGGAAATAAAATAGGCCTTTGCACTCCCCACCTTCTATGGGAAGTCTCCAGAGATCAAGAAAGCAATGCAGATGCAAACATTTCTCATTAATGAAATGTGCTTCAGAAAGTCAATCCACAAGTGTGAACCAGAGCTAAGAGTTGAAAGAATAAGCAGGGGAACCAATTAAGGGAACAGAACAGGTACCCTGTACCCTGGTAGAGGTGTCTGTGTCTAGAGGAACAGGCCTGAGCACATTCAGCTGGACTTTAGGATGGACCAGTGATAATTCTATGCCTCCAGTTCTTTTTGGTTTGTTCTCTCTTTCTCTCTTTCTCTCCCCCCCTCTCCTTTTCTCTTCCATTCTCTGCAGCTAATGCTAGCCTTTAACTTTGATTTTTAAAATTTATTTTTTTAATGTGTATATGTGTTTGCCTGCATGTATGTATGTGTACCACATGTGTGTAGTGCCGGAAGAGGCCAGAAGAGGACACTAGGCACACAAACTGATGTTAAAGAGTATTATAAACTGTCATATGGGTACTGGAAACCAAACCTGGGTCCTCTGGAAGAGCAAAAACTGCTGAGCCCTCCCTCCCTCCCTCCTCTAGCCTTCCTCTTGTAACCCTCCTGCCTCAGCTTCTCAAGTGCTGGCATTACAAGTGTGCCCCGCTGTGCCTGGCTATTTCCCCTGATTTTAAATGGACTATCTATTTCAGACATCTTATCTGCATCTTCTCATTGGATGCCAGATGTCTTTGGGCAGATATATGGCTTCTTAGGTCACACATTTTAACAGTTTCTGCAAGGAAAAGCTGTAAAGTCTCCTCATTTGGAGTTGACCTGTGTGAGATCATGTTCTCTTGAGCCTGATGATAAGCTCGGAAGAGGCTTTGAAACTTTACATATGAAGGACCCATGAATCATGGCCAAGGGGAGGAATGCATACAATAGCATGTACATTAATGATCCCTGACGAATCATACCTTTTTTTTTTACTCATGTTTTTCATAGTGTGGTTTTGCTATTCTTCCCAAGAGGTGTAATCTAGTTCCTTCTTGGATTTTCTCTGACTACTGGGATGTTGCAGAAGCAGCATTGTGCAGGTTCTGAGGCGGGGAGTCAGGGGTTCAGAGTCTGTGTTTTTGTTGTCTTAAACACCACACACTGTGTTGTAGAAAAGCATCATGTGGCTGGACACAACCTCATGGATTTCACCTTTTAAATATGGCCTGTGAGTCATCACCAGTGACAACAGCTGTGAGGCTTCCAGCTTGTAAAAGCAGGAGGAAAACCTCTATGGTTGTTAAGCCACTGGGTAATACTGGACAGAACAGATAACCGATGAGGGGGAATTCAGAAGCGGTTGGTGTGAGCACAGGATTTCCTTAGTGATTTTTCCTTCTTGTGGTAAAAGTTATTGAGGTATAAGGCTCGGCTGTCATTATGATCCCCTGGTTGAAGAAATATGCATTACAAGGTCCAATCAGATTGTTTAGGACTTGCTTTTTTGGTCTCATGGGCCTGTTGATGTTTACAAATTAAGGCAAAGCTTTTGGAGTTGAAACTACCAGTGCATTAATAGTGGTTCCCTAAAACAACAGAACTGATAGAATGAGAAAAAATGTGTATGTTTTGTACACACACACACACACACACACACACACACACACACACACACACACACACACACACACACATACAGGACTTGCCAGTGAGAGTGAGGGCAAACAGGCAACAGTAGTTTCCTTCTCTTATGTCCTTTTATCTTTTATCTGGGCTGCCACCAGAAGACACTGCCCAGATTTAGGGTGGATCTTCCTTTTTCAAATCATCTGACCAAGAAAATCTCTCACAAGCGTGCCCAGCAGCTTGTGTTTTAGTGAATTCCAGATCCAGTCACATTGACAACCATGGTTAGCCTTCACAGCCTGTCATCAAATCCCAGCTCTGACACTTATTAAACAACAAATTTCATTTGTTGTTCTTTCTCTTCCACATGAAGTTGGCTTCTGTGGATCTTGTACTCCTTCATACAGATTCTAGAGCTACTCATTGCATCCACAAAATAACTTGCAGGTATTTTGATTGGGGCTGGGGCAACTAAAGTCAAGTTGGGGAGAGCCAACATTTTAGCAACATTAAGTCCTGTCATGAACATAGAATTGCTCTCTACTTTTCTGGTTCTTTGGTCTCTTTGCTCAGAGCTTGGAATTGTCTTTATGTAGATTTTACACATACTTAGTTAGATTTACACCTAGGTCATTTCATTGGTCATGTGTATGTGTGTGTGTTGGGGTGGGTGGGGGGAGTAATTTAAATGTCAATATACATTTTTGGTTTGTTTTTGTTTTTGAGACAGAGTTTCTCTGTGTAGCCCTGGTTATCCTGGGACTCTCTGTAGACCAGGATGACCTCCAACTCAGAGATTTGCCTGCCTTTGCCTCCAGAGTGCTGGGATTAAATTGTGAGCCATGCCCGATTGACAGTGCACTTTTAATGTCAAGTTCATTGTTGGGATATGATTAATTTTTTATATTAATCATGTATCCTATAACCTTGTTACAGAGTTTTTTTTTTTTAATGGTTTGGATTTCCTAGACACAGATGATCATGCTCTCAGTTTTCTTCTGTCCTTCCCCATCTATATGCCTTCTATTTTAAAGGGGATTTATTTTCTTTTGTTTATGTATGTGTTTATTGTGTATGGCTGTTTTGCCTGAATGTATGTCTAAACACCACATGCATGCCTGGTGCCCTTGGATGCCAGAAGAGGGTGTCAGATCTCCTGGAACTGTGTCCTCTGGAAGAGTAGAGCAGCTAGTGCCCTGAACTGCTGAGCCATTTTTCCAGCCTCATCCTTACAGATTTTACATGCACTTGAATGCATGGACTTCTGACATAGGGGTATAGAGACCTCCTTATGTAATAGGACTTTCATCTACTTCTCCTTGAACTGTGAGGGGCTTTGTTTTGTGGATTTTTTATGTTTGGTTTGCTGTAAGGAACATATACTATACAGTCAGTTAGGACTTCATGGAGTTTTGACCACAGTACCATTTTATAATGGCCCTGTTGACCTCAGGCAACAGTCCTCGCTTTGACATCATCTCTGTATGAAATCAGCATAGCTCTTCTCACTTTATTTTGGTCAGCATGCCATTTCTTCTCCCTTTTCTTGCAATGTTTGCCTTTAGATTTAAAATGAGGTTCTTGTAGACACTATAGAGCATTTTTTAAAATCTATTCTGATGGCTGTTGTCCTGTAATTGGTGAATTTAGATGGCTATCTATATGTTTTACTATTTTCCATTTGTTGCTGGTGTTTCTTCTATGTTTTGTCTTTCATATTTTTCCCACTACTCACAGTTTTAGTTGAGCATTTTACATGATTCCACTCTTTCTTTGTGTG